AGTAGACTTTCCCAGTAATCTAATACTCAACATATGGGATTTTACAGTTGTACTTGAACATATTTGTTCTTGAGTGTTTGGCTGCTAGGAACCATGGGCATCCCGACAAGATATACTGGCTTGCTGAATTAACTGTTCCATATGGCTAAAAAGCTTATGTGATGAGCGTTTGGAAAAGGAATTATTACAGAGATACTTCAAAGAACAGATAGCCCAGGGAGGCAAGCTCCTTCCTAACGAACCTGACCACATATTGAAGAGAAAAGACTCCTTAAGACCTGGAGAATGCTGGTTTGCAGCACTGGGGCAGGGAGGCAAGTGTCATAATTCTTTCCTGACCCCACAGAGCATATCCTCAAGGTGAATGGTCCCAGAAGGCTTTCTCTTGTGAACTTAAGTATTCAATCTCATCTCTATACCTAGTCATATCATTCTGCAGGAAATAAAAGGCAGGTCTGGAAAATCTTAGTAATTTCTGCACCAAAAGCAAACTCTCTGGACAAACACTATCATGGTGGTATTTAGCTGCAGCTAAACAGATTATAGTAAGAACTTGAGACTTATTTTAAAGTGAAACAGCTTAGATCCTAAAATGGCCAAAGGAATTTCTCCAACCAGCACTGAAAGCACGGGCGTATAATGCAGTGGTTTTAGAATCTTATTGTGGGTAAGCATCATTCAGGAGTGCCAGTCTACAATGGAAAAACCCATCCAAGTGAACTGGATTCCCCAGAAGTGTACCCTCAGAATGGCTATTCTGAGAACCATAGTAAGTGAGGTTCTAGTCTAGCTTACAGAATTAACTATGCGAAATGAGGCAAGTCACTTAACCATGCTGAGACCATTTCTTCTCCTATAAGGCAACAGTGTTGTGTTGGACTTCAGATGATCTTTGAGGTTCACTGAAATTCTCAAGGTCTCAGAGGTAAAAACAAGCTGCATGTCTCCCCCCTTCAATTCACATCTGATGCTCTTCCTGAAGCCTTTATACTAACACTCAACAAGCAGAGCCCGAGCCTTGATGGTTTTAGGAACCACCACATGCCACTGGGTACTCAAATGAGTAAAATGAGTATGAGAATCTGAAGTCATGAAACTAATTAACGATATATAATGCTAAGCTGTAGCTACTGCGTGCCAGGCTCTGTTCTCAGTGCCTGACAGATATAACTCATTGAGGGAAAAAAAGACGACGACAAAAGGTAATCTGAGAACCCTGAAACCAGTAGTCTGTATGAGGGGCTAACACTGGAAATGAAACTAACGCATATTAAAGTTTTGCCAATACTTAACAAACTGCAACCACAAAATGCTGATAAAACGACTAATGCGAATAGGCCATAGTATTTGTGAGTAAATGAGCTGGCCTCCTAAATTGTGAAAAGATTTCAACCCAGTGAAGAAATATCTGTTAGGACCGGCTATCGTCTGTGGAAAAACCAGCAGCATTTAACACATACATGTGTTTTTTATGAGAATATAAGCAAGTATTAATCTTGATATTGCCTAATTCCTTTATGAATCATGATTTTAAGTGTTATTAACCCTCGCGTAAGGGCTTATTTACAGCACAATGTGTCAAGCAGGTTAAGGAATGAAAAATTACTCCTCAATTTGTATGACAGGTATCATACTACTGGACTAAAGAAAATAGGAACCCAATTGTACCTTTTTTCTTTAAATACTTGGTAGTGCCACGCCTGCCTGAAGTCCCCAAGCGTTGACAATTATCTATGTTTAGAGAAGGTTACAAAACAGGAAGACTCCTATAAGAATTTAAAATGGATTCTTTATTTACATTTATTAGAAAATTGCCATAAACGCACCCCTGTTCTAGGGTTTCACGTCAGTAGCACAGCATAAAAGATACAAATTCTGCTTTACGTTTGGAGAGGATGATTCAGTAGAACAATGATTCAATGAAGCAGTGACTGGCCTATTCCCAAGGCCAACACGGAGACTGAGCATGCGTCAGAGAGACTGGATTAAATAATGTTCAACAAAAGCCACTCCACCCTCGACCACAATCACAAGCTCAAGTAACCCTTTTCAGACTGCAAACACAGATTCCAGAAGGTTGAGGCTGGAAGAGGAATAGAGATAAGGAAGCTGAACTCTGGAGAAGCCAAGTCAAAAAGCCGGTTTGGAGAGTCACGGAACTGGAACTCTGCCTCCCAGCCTGCAGCTTACTAACTACAGCTTTCACCACAAAACAAACAGAACAATCTGGAAAAGAAGTCGACTTGCTTTCTCTTTCTTTTCATCCACTGGTGCACAAGTGCTCTCTAGGCCAGGCGCCCACAAACTACTGACAGCGGCCCATCGCCTCTTTTTGTACAGCCCGTGAAAAAAATCTAAGAGTACATTTAAGGACTGAAACAAACTATTCAAAAAAGAGTATTTCATCACAAATGAACATTCTCTGAAATGCAAACCTCCTTAGTGACTATAAATAAAGTTTTATCGGAACACAGTCACACTCTTCTTTACATACAGCCTATGGCTTTCACACTACAGCAGCGAAGTCGACTCGTCATAACAGAGACTGGATGGCCCACAAAGCCTAAAATATTTACAATCTGCCCTTTACAAAAAAAGTCCACAGACTTCTCTCCTGACCCAGTGAAAACCTATACAATGAATGTACAGCATATGAAGAGTCAAACGGGAAGAAAATGGGACACGGGAAAAATTAGCTTTATCCTTTCAATTCACAGCAAAAAGGGCAAGTGTGGCAGAGTGTCAGGGAAGGAGGGAAGTGGTCAGACTTTACATGACACATTACAACAATGCTATGCACACAAACCTCGCCACTAGTTAGACCTGACAATCTTCAAGAACCAAAAATCCCATTAACATATGCTTTCTCCAAATGCACAAAGTGGGGGCAGACACAAAGCATAAGGCATAGCTATCTCCCAGCAACAGACAAATAACATGGTTCTAACCTACTGATACTCCTTAGAATATACCCACCAGTCACAGAGCCAGCCCGGGGTAAGAGTCACAAAGGAATGTGCCCTGTTGTGTAACTCCTAGGTCAGAAATCAAACTCCAGGCTCTCATTCTTGCAGAGTCTGACCTTGAACTAGTCATGTGACTCTCCAAGGGTCTAATTCTTTTATCTGTAAAATGAGGCCTCTTGACCAACTAGAAGAATATTCTCTCTCTCAACTCCTAAAACTAGAGGAAAAATGAGAACAGGAAAGAGATGAGGAGAGGAGGAAATTCTTTTTTTAATAATATTTTGTCTTCTTCTTTATGACAGACAAGATACAGTGAGGGTTGAGAGATCCTTCATTGGAAGGCAAAGGTTCTGTGGCCACGCACAAGGCTGTACTCCATGACACAAATGGCTCCAATGTCAGATGGAGGACGAAGAAACAGAGGCATTTGAATTCAAGGATGTGAGTTTGTTCCTTCCCTTTTTTAGGGGCTTCTAGAAACAAAGACACATGTACCCATGCAGGGTGTGTTCTCTTTTCTTTCCCCAGAGGCAAAAGCAACATCAGTCTGAATAATGCCTGTTAAGAAGTAGCCACCCAGGCATTAGTCATGAATATTATCTGTAATAAGGGGCGGGTTAGAACACTCAGCACCTCCTTGCCACTGGACTCCAATAAAACGAAGCTGGTTTATCACCGTTCATACACCGGGAACAGTTTGGGAGGGTACAGTTCTGTTTACCTTCTGGGGTAACTTTAAGAAAAAATACCACTTAGTCCTCTGAAGAGCAAAAACAGTGCCCTGTCAAGTCTAGGCGAGGAAGACTGATTTTTCTGAGAGGCAATATGATTTAGTCCACTAACTTGATTTTCAGCTTCCAAAAGGTTTTTTTTTAAACCAGCATGGAATCTAAAGCTTAGAGCACTGTTTCTCTCAACAAGTTTAAGTTCCCTTGTTTTAAAAGTTAACAGCTTTAAACAAGAAGAAAAATAATCTCAAGATGCTGAAGAAAAATATTTTTAAAAGTTACTGAATATTAAATACAGAATTATCATATGACCCAGCAAATCCACTACTAGGCATATGAAAACATATGTCTACACAAACGCATACACAAATGTTCACAGCAGTATTATTCACAACAGCCAAAAAGTGGAAACAATCCAAATGTGCAACAAAATGTATTCCATCCACACAATGGAATATTACTTGGCAATAAAAAGAAATGAAGTACTGATCAATGTGACACCACGGATGAACCTTGAAAGAGTATGCTAAGTGAAAGAAACCAGTCAGAAAAGACCACATATTGTACAATTCCATTTATATGAAGTTCCAGAATGGGCAATCCATAGAGACAGGCACATTAGTGACTACCAAGAGCTGGGTGAGGTATGGGGCACAGAGAGAAAGACTGCTAACGAGTATGGGGTGACGGTAATGTTCTAAAATTAGACAGTGGTGACGACTGCAGAACTCTGTAAATAAATTAAAAACTACTAAACTGTGCACTTTACGTGAATGGGTGGGTTTTATAGTATGTGAACTTTATCTCAATAAAGCTGTTATAAAAAGCCAACTGAACCTTTTTTTCATCACTAAAAATGACAACATATTTTAGACAGTGCTCAGTTATAAATTAAAATCTCATTTTTGCTATCAGTTATATATATATACATATACATATAAAATATATATATAAAGAAAGAAGAGTCAGATTAAAAAGGGTCAATAGATGCCCTTTAATGGTAATTTTCATTTTGTGACACGTTAAACTTGACGACAAACTGAAAAGTCTTGTGCTCATAGGGAAATCTTTTTCATTACCATCTCCGCCCTGCAGGAAGGCCCATTCCAAAAGCCTGCTATGTGGTGCACAGCATTTATGAAAGCTCAATTGCAACAACACGTTCACATTTGTACATAATGGAACAAGAGAGAAGGGGAAAAACACTTTTGTGAAAAAAATCCAAACAAAAAAACAAAACCATTAGCCAGACACAGCAGACCAGGCGACACACATTTTGTGCTTGCAGAGACTGGATGCCACTTACCGCCTGGGTCTTCGGGCCTTGTTTCATCTTGGGTGCCGCAGTGATGTTTCCTGTGGCCACCTCTTCAGAAACTGAACTCTCCCTGGTATTACTCAGAAAATCCACTTCATCTTCAGCTTTCGTGTCTGGCATTTCTGAAGAGAACAGGCAGGTTACAAGGTGCATTTGAAAAATCGATTCCTGCGCCTCAGTATTTACACAACAAGCTCCAGGTTTCAAGTGTTTTGTTTTGATTTGTGTTAAATGGAAAAATACTCTTGCTGTCAGGAGCTGGTGTCATTTCCGACCCTGTGCTGAGCTATTCCTTTATCACATGGCTGTATGGTTTTCCCTCACCTTCGTTTGGGTTTGTAGCTAAGGCAAGATCCGATTCAGTATCTATTGTACTTCCATTTCCCCTACCAACTCTTCATGACAAATCTATGAGTGTGGTGCTGACTTGCTTATGGAAAAGTAAATTCACAAGCTTTAAGGGAACAGACTAACAGCTGAAGCTACACAGTCCATCTTGACCATCATCAAAGAGGCAAGAGCTGTCCGTATGTGCTCAGGACAAAAAGGTAAAAGTAAAGGCTTGGGAAGAGTCTGACTTTCCTTAAAAACAAACTATACACTCTCATCTACACAGCACTGCAACTGATAAGACTGAACTATTCTAGAAGTTATTCTTTAAGTTTTTACACGTTTTCTTTAGAATTATGCTCAACAGACCAAACAGTAGTGGTTTTCGTTACCTGACCACCATATGGTCAAGCGAATACAGGAAGAAAGGAAGTGATGAAATGATATCTGAGGTAAATTTAGGCTTTGACACTTCTTCAAAAGAAAGTGATGAGTGAAGAGTAAAATTCACCTTGATAATCCAAACACAAATGGAACTCACGTGGAAAACTTTCTGAGGTTGTTATTAATCTGGTCACTCCACTACACTGGCAGAGAAGAATGTCCCTACACCAAATGGCAGGGAGGTTTCCTATCACCAAAAACTAAATTACATTAACATTTTATTCTAATAGTACATTGTGGCATGCACAGAGGGCGACTTCAGATTTACGAAAGTTACATTCCTATAAATGAACATTTATAAATCTTCTTTCTTTGCCCTTATTTAATTTAATAATCTTACCAGCAACTTAAAGATGGGCAGACAAGTTTCCTTGCCCAAAACTAAAGTCTGTCCTATATTTCATAAAATGTGATTAAAGTTAAAAAAAGATCTAACTAAGCAATCCTCTTAGAAATATTCCTTGATCAAAACGTTTCTGAGTCGGAATAACTCCTTTGGTTGTTGATGATTTTTATTGTATTTATTTGGGAGTCTGATTTTTGGCATAACCTTTCTATCCTATATCCATCAACCAAAAACATGTATCTTGGCCAGGAGCAACCAGTCCCAAGGGTAAAGAGTGATTGCTGAGGCCTGAGGGGTGCTGGCGACCTCCACAGGACTAGTCTAGCTCAGGCATGTACAACTGACCCCCAAGCCCTGTGATCAACACTCTTGATGGGTGAATGGCAACATCCCCTCTTTCTAAAGGGAAGTTCTGTGCTCTCCCCATCTCAGCTTCCATTTGGCTCTTTATGCAGCAGTGTATAAAAACAGAAGCCAATGCCATGTGGCTCCGTCCAAGTCAGCAGTTAAGCTGACATCTCTTCACTCATAAAACAGTATGGTTAAATTCAAGAGCGGAATGTAAACTTCCTAGAAAATACCCTTTGGCTCTGAGCTCACACTCAGGTGCTTTTTCTCTAGGGCAGTGTGGCCAGGGACTTTCCCCAATCCTAGTTATTTTCCGAAGAAAGCACCGATTTCTCCATCACTGGCTACTTCTCTCTGCAGTCTGAGACCATGGGCAGCGGGCACATATGACTCCTCTTGGTAGCAGAACAAGTAACTCACCCACACATATGGACCAACCCCAAACCTAGAGATACTGTTGGAATGCCATACAAATTGTTTTCCATCCTAAAACCTTAGAATCTTAACAATCATTTCTTAGCATCTTGACTATGTTTGCATACTACTAAAAATCAAAAAGCCCTTTTCTCATAGGGTACTATAGACACAAACCTCACATAGTTTGCATCTGCTTGGGTTAAATTCTGACTAGTGAGCCAGAAAGAGAAATAATTCCAGCCCCTCTGGCCAAAGACGCAGCACCCAAATGAAAAGAACATAGCCAGGCGTCAGCTTACAGCCACTCCCATTCTTCTGAAATGTCAACCTGCCAGGGCCCCCAAAATAGACTTGTTGTTGTGCCTTCCTTTAAAAATTACAGACCATCTCATCTAAATTCTGAGATAGCAGTCAACGCACTTCTATCACTAACAAGCCAAAGCATTAATAAAACTACAAACCTGAAGTCACCAAAAATATTACCTCAGGTTTTTTAAATCCCTTAACTGGAAGAAAAAAAAATATATAAATGGTTAAAAACCCTTTATCAGGGAAAATGACCACTTTGTTTAAATTGCTCTTTTTCCTGAGCAACTTCTTTTTCTGTTCCATTTGTTCATGTCTCGACACATTCCACCCCCGCACTCTTAACACATACTACATTTAAAAGGATTTTCAAAAATTAGAAAGAATAGCAAAAACAAACAAACAATAAAAACCAAGCAGGCACCTTCTTACCTACAAAGCCTGGGCGCGAGCATGGAGATAGGTCCTCTGTCTATACCTGGTAACAGGTGGTAGTCTTAGAGTGTGAATCAAACTGACCTTTAAAGACTTCAAGAGTCAATACTGAGTCCGACTCCAGTTTCAGCTTCAGCCTCAACCCCCCAAAAAGTTTTATTCAGATAGCTTCTTTCCACTGAGCAATAGTGGTTTCTCTTTGCTCTCTCTGGACATGGTTACCCACAGATGGAACAGGCTGCTGTGTGAGCAATCTGCTCAGTGCAGCTGCTTCACCGAGATAAGCAGACACAACGTCTGCCCTGTGACAGCAGCTCAGCAGACTGGGCTCGGGCGGAAATCCTGCATCCTATCCCCTGCGCTGTGCCCGGTTGTCAATTCCCAGACTGCTGCCCAAAAGCAACAGGCAATGGAACAGCAGGCCTGCTCCTCAGGCCGGAAAAGGAGGGAGCTCCCTTCCTCCCAGCCCTCACCGATGACCTAATGCCACCATTTGGGATGTCGGGCCATTGGCTTAGAACGATACTTAAACAGCTGTTTGTGAAATCGCTCTGACTCTAAATTTGCTCAGAACATAGACTGGAACGATAGGGAAAGAAAGGAGTTTCAGGCTTGTAAATAAAACACTTTTTCAGCACTGTCTTTCATGGTTCTAGAAAAAAGGACTAAGCCATGTGAATAAAAACATCTGATAAATTCCTTTATCGTTTCAGAGCACCTGTGATCTCGGCATTGTTTTCCAGGTGAGGAAAGTTGCAAGGGCTCCAGGGCGGCAGACAGCATTTACAGGCTTAAGCAATCGAGCTAGGAGTCTACAATACAGGAAGCAAAATCTGTCCAACCAGAGATGACGCGCCTCTCCTGATGGGGTGACTAGTCACTTGGAAACCTACACAAGGAACGCAAGACCTCTAAACAGCCGAGACACCTATATTTTACCAGCCATCACAGAGATTCTGAAGGGCATTTGTTTCCAGAACTGTTCACTTTATATCCTGCTTTGCTTACCTGTTGCCGGCTTAGGTCCTCGGACAGGCAGAATCATCTCCTCTGGCTCCTCACTTCCAGCAAAACATCCTGCACGGTTCCCAGGGGCTTCTCCACGAATACTGCCCATTTGTGGAGTCTCCCCAGGCAGGAGAGCGCTCACTTTCCCTGGAGAAGCACTCTCCAGCTGTTCAGTCTCTGGGCCCGTCTCTGAAGGACTGGACAGTGACATGTGACTTATTTCCCCCTCTGTGACCAGTGCTCCTGAGGCCCTGACTTGTTCTATGACGGCATCCACTATGCGACTCGCGGCCTCCTCGATCGAGTTTGCTCTCTGAGGCAGGTGCGTAGCTTCGGCAGCGACAGTGCAAGGTAGAGGGGAAGCACCCCTTTCCTGGCTGGGGGCCTTGTCATCACTGCTGGAGAGCCCTGTCTCTTTGGGGAGCTCTTTGGCAATAGGCTGCAGCAGCACATGACGCACCTCACCATCCATTCGTGCCTCCTTGGAGTCGCCCACGCCACAGCTGCTGTCTGCTCCCTCCTGCTTCCCTTTCTCCCAACCAAGAGGTACCATCTCTGGGGTGGCAGCGCCAGGCAGGTCAGTCACACCTTTGTCTGATACAGCTCCTGGCAAACCCAGAATCATATTCTTCTCTTGGCTCAACGAGACTTTTGGAATCGGGATGTCTTGGGTGTTGTGTGACACATCCTTTCTTCTGGCCCCAGGGGTATCTTGTGGAGCGTTAACCACTGCAACATCCAGTGCCACATTTCTACTCACCTCACAAGCAGTGTTTTTTCCTTGGGATTGAGTGTTTTTCACTCCAACAGATCGACTGCAATTAAGAGCCTGAGAGCCATCTGGCAACAGACCTGGCAACAGAGGTGAGCTGCTCTGCTCTGCACCCAAGGCTTCCTGGTTTGTGTCAGCCAGACTTGCTCCTGGTGGCACCAGGCTCTGTGCAGCTCCACCCTCAGTCAGCAGTGAGACTGGTGGGGCCACTTCCTTGTTATGTTTAGCTTCTGCATGAAGACAGGCCGAGGGTGTGCCCAGTGAATTACCCTGCTGAAGGGCTCTGTCCTCAGCACACGCAGCTGAGCTGGGTTCTCCACGGGATCCTGGTGCCTCCTGTCCAGGAGGAGGGGTTCTGTGCTCTTCTTGCAATGTATCTGAAGAAAGAGCGTCTTCCTTAATGGAGGAACAAGCCACTGCTTTATCCTTGTCACCTTGTCCCTGAGCTGCAGAGCCTTCTAGAACCACCAGACTTTTTCCTTCTTCAGTCAAAATGGAATCAGAGGCTGAAGTGGCCTTACTCACGTGTAGCAGGGAAGAGTCTGTGCCCTCCTCGATATTCAGAACTTCAGGGGCCGCTGAGAGGCAGGGACCCTCGTGCTCCCCACCAAGTCCTATGGGACTGGTATTCCCCATGGTGGGCTGAAGATCTGGAGCAGTGCAGGATGGGGACAGGCCTGCCGCACTGTCTTCTAGCGACTGCTTATCGGGATCATTCGAATCTCCGTCTGAGCCATCTCTACCATCTGTAGCCGTATGTAGTTCAGGGGTTGCTGTTCCCTTTTCTTTCTGGGAGGGGCCAAGAGAAAGTGCGTCATCTTTGGTTACTGATTCACTGCCTGGACTGCCTGCCAGAGAGAAAGTCCTGTCTGATGTCACAGCCTGGTCTGGCACCAGTTCTTTCTCAGCTTTGGGGACAACTGCATGTGGATGCAGAGCCACCTCAAGCATATTTGTTAAAGATGTTTCTAGTTTCAGATCTTTTCCTTGGTCTTCTTTATCCGAAACTTCGAGAGGACAAAAATCCACAGGTTTCTGGGTGTCTCTCACAGGGTCAGGGGTGGCTGTGTTAGCCTGTGGACCTTCAGAGCAGATGGCAGGGGGCAGATGTGTGTTGGGCAGCCCCGTGGTGGTGCTTTCAGGCTGGGTAACTACACCATCACCACGTTTTGCAGCCAAGACACCAGTAGAAGTCACTGTGTCCTGTGGACATGAAGAGGCAACACAAAGTTTATCATCTCCAGTTGTAGCACAGATGGGTGATTGGCTGTTTTGGCTTTGAACATGAGATGAATGAGTTTCTGATTTCTGGTTTGGCATAACATCCTTCTGTGGCCTGCAAACGGTTAAATGAGAGGGTGATACTGCTTCACACAGGCTTGCTAAGGGAGTGTCGGGTTGGAACCCATCGGAAATCTTGTCTTTTGCAGCAGCTGGAATTACTGGCAAGTTCTGACCTACTGGATCATCAGCACTCTCTTCACAACTTCTTGAAGCTTCAGTTTCTGCAGTTTTTTCAGTGGAGGTTTCTCCGTTACTAAATGCAAAGAGAGACTCAGCTGGTTTGTTTCCATCCAGGGAACCAGTGGCAGAGACACAGTTTGCAACACTGGCTTTATCCACAGGCTTGCTCGTGACTCTTACATCAGAGGCTCCAGCTGTGCTGATAGGAGAGTTCTCTAGTCTTTCCTTTGTACTTTCCCCTCCTTCAAGCACATTCTTCTGGACGGTCGCATCTGGGTTCATGAGACCACGTTCCCTTTCCCCTGCAGTCTCTGGGACACTGGCATCTGCTGTGGAACTGACTGCTGGTTCCCCTGCAGAGAAACACTGGGCCGTGCCTGGGTGCACCACGTCTCCCTGTAACACTCTGTCTCCACTGCTCGGAGACTCCTGGGCTGCGGCCACTGCAGATTTTGTTCCAGTTTCTTCATTTCTGATTCCACAGGATGGGAGGCCTTCTGTGCCCTTTCCTCCACACTCGGGCATGCCCTGAAGGCAGCTGTCAGGATCAGACACAGTCCCAGAGTCCACAGCAGGTGTTGGCTCCGCCTCGTCCCCTCTTCTCTGCACGCCTTTATTTTCCTTCCTACAGGAACAGTCTGTATTTTCTTCCTCAACCACACTTGACAAATCACAGGAACTTTCAACCTGCCCAACAGTGCTCGCCTGGCAGCATGAAGAGCTCTCAGTATCTTCAGGAGAAGAAAGCCGCTGGTTGTCCGTGGGCTCTGATGCACAGGGAAGAAATTGGCCATCCGTATCTTGGGCACTGGGCAGACTTGACGGATCCTGTGTTGTCACCATTAAGGGCACAAGATTGTCCATCTGCTTGAGGTTTGTTTTCTAGGAGAAAATGAAAGGTATTTTTAAAAAACTGTCCATGGGAAAAGATGCCACTGACACCTACAAGCAAAAATCCTGCTGGAGAGAACTCACTGCCTTTCCAGCCCTACTTAGGTCACATGATGGCTGATCTAAATAAATACAAATAAAGTTTTTCTTGTTCCTGATATCACTTTCCTCTCTCATAGCTGCATATCCACTGAAATGATAAAAAATGGTCAAGAATATAAATGACAACTATTTTCTAGTATTATGAACTTATTTTACAATATAGATTAAAACTGAGCCTCAAAAACCTTATTTTTAAAAAAGCACAGTGACTATCTTCAAATGAGCAGCTGAGAAAGACTTTTTTTTAATAGGGTCTCTAGAGGGGCAGAGGCTGCTTCCATCCCGCTGTATATATACAAGTGGAAACAAATCCTACCCAGTGTGGTAAACTCTCTTCAACCACGATGATGCGCAGGCAGGTGCTCCTGTGCCCTAATTGTTACTAAGGAATTACACAATGTTCTTTAATGCCCCAAATACACTCCATTCAGTCTAGCTTATGGGTTATGGGTTCAATTTGAGTTACGGGTTCATAATTTCAAGAATAATGGTATGGTAGATAGCCTTTCACTTTTTGATAAAAGCAATCCCTCTGTTGTCTAATACTGAACATTAAATAAAACATATCAAATTAATAATACCTAATTCTTGATTATTCTCAGATGGTACTGTGGCTTGAGGATTTTATAAGTCATCTCAAAAATAGTTTTTTGCAACTTTAAAGTATCTTTTAAAGCATAAATAGATATAACCAACCACAAAGGAATGGTTAAAATAATCATGGTTGATCAACCTGATGGAAAATTCTATGCTGTTTCATAAATGTTAACTACAAAGCCGATAGCGAAATCAGAAAATATAGATATTTATAATACGTTGAAAAAAATAAAACCTGTAGTTAATCTAAGTTTATAATTACACATAAATTACATGTAGACAAGGATTAGGAAAAATGGAAAAAAATACAGCTAATCTTTAGGGTGGGTTTGCCTTTCTATCAAAATTTCAGAAATTCTTAACAATAATACTATTTGTTTGACACATAAAAACAATTTTTAAAACATCCGGTGTGCTCTTCACTCACTGTCTGATCTACTGCAATAAGCTCATGTATCTCTTGTCCACTGCCCTCTTGTTCATTTACTTACTCAGTAAACACGCTGTGCACTTAGACTACCCCATCATCACACTATTCCTGTCTACTTGCTGGGACTATTGTCAAATTTACACATATAAGTGCAAAATGTGTTATGCTCACTAAAAGTCCTTCTAATAAGAGAATACAAGAAAAACGGATTTTCACTAAAAGCTTCTGTGCTATGTTCCTGAGAGTATTCAAAATTAGCTTGCTTCCGTTTCTGCTCAGAGTGCAACAGTCTCCTAAAAACTACGAAAGCAGGTCATTAAATTTAATAAGGAGTGAACATTATAGAACAGAAATTTGAAGAAACAAGTGATGTTGCCTGAACAATCATAGGAGGTCCTAATACACGCATCCTCTCAGTTTTAATTTCTCTCGGTTTCCTGTCAACTATTCACATACCTTGCAGGCAGCTCTGGCACCTGCAAACTGCTATTCCAACTGGACTATCATTCACCTAGTAAGAAGAGCTCCAAGGAAAATCTGACTTCCTGGCAGTCCATTCAGAGGGAAAGAAAATGATACCTGTTCTGGAACAAACGTGATTCAGAAAGGCAGAAGCAGGCGCATCACACAACTCTACTACAAAGTATCTTGGCCTGCTGGACTCAAAAAGAACGCCTGCTCCCAAAGCCTCCGGCACTGAGCTGACCCTAAATGACCTTAAATGAAATTATTGTCAAGCTTTTTCCAAATCAAATCAGCTCTGAAATAAACTGAGTGGAAAAATAATCTAAACTTAGCCTTTCAGATGTTATGGCCAAGAGAGATGTACCCATATGACGTTTATATTATCCATAATAAATGCTACCAGGGAGTCTGTAATGTTTTTATGTCTGGCAACAACTTTATCTTGAAGGCTTGAGTGGATTATAAAATCTTTATTTTTTCAGTGATCTTTTTACCATACAACTATCAATTTAAATATAGTAACACTATCATCACTCACTGAAATAGCTGTGAAAAGGCTTTCTTTCTGGGTAACTTTGGTTCTTGTTCTTTAGCAACAATCTCAGAAACTGTTTTGTTCGTTTAGTGTTTTATAAAATTAAACCAGCAAATTTATAAAGTTAAATAAATTTCCCTTTATGCCAGGAAAATTTAGTTCTAGTTGTTGCGTATTTCTGTATCTGCAATGCGTACGTATAATCTTTCATTATTGCAAAAACGACAACTTCTCAGTCTCCGACTGCTGCAACCCCAATGCTAGCTCCGTATCTGAAAGCAGTAACATCTAACACTGCTAAAACTGCTTTACAAGTTTCACAACCTTTGAGGGAAGCATTTTTATGTTCTACTTAAAGCAAGGTTTACTGAAGGAGGGGGTGGGTGAGGGCACAAAAGCCTGAAAATGAAAATTGTCTTCCTTACCATTAGCTGCTGTTGGATGTTCATAAGTTTAAAAATATGTCCAGTGCAACTGTCCGCAGGAACTGGGGGCTCATGATGTGATTCGGACTCAGAGGTCAAGGTATAGATGTCCAGCTCTCGGTGATGCCTCACAGAGCAGTCTCCGTAAGGTATTTCATAGGATAAGCTACTCCAGGAGTCTGGTTCTCCAGCATTCTCCCTGTAAGCAAGCAATCTCTGGTTAACATACATATGTTCTGCTTCCCAGGCACAAACGTAACCCTCTAAGTCTTACGCAAAATTTCTAACCTGATTGCTCTCTGAGACTCTGCAGCAGAAATTTGGTTTGTACAGTTCCCCAAGGATTCAGGAATGTATCTGTTCCGTTCTCCTCACGAGAGGACACAAATGGGTTAAATGAGAACTGCAAGATTCCTCCCAAAGGATGTTCTTTTGATCAAGATAAAGAGAAGTCTGGGATCTTAAAATAGCTAACATTATATGCTAACAACCAAATAATGAGGAATCGTTTTAGCCGGTTTTCAATAGAAACAAGGCTTATTAAGCGTTTCTCTTAAAATAGGTTACATCACATTCTAATTGCAGCCGATCATATTGGGAAGGGAAGAACCAATCACTCCAACCCATGCAAGGGCACCCCAACTTCTGGGAACAATAGGTGGGAGAAGCACCCTCAAAATTCTTGAAGTCAATTACACAGAGAAAAACTCCCAGAATGCTATATCATACCATACGCGTCAATATAATTACCAAATTCTATTTTAAAGGAAGTACTTGGTTCCCAGAACTCCAAGTGAAATTTTTTTTAATTTAAAAAACCAACAAGTCTGCTCAGCTCTATCATTATACTCATACATCGTATGCAAATCAAGCCGACAAAGGCAGCTATGTAGAGGAGCATTTCTGAGACAGGCCTCCAAAGGTGGGCTCTCTCTGTGTGGTTCTCGCTACTGAACCAGGAGGTTGGTAAAGCATCCCAGAGATTCCGGAAGGAGGAGGAGGGTTATGCGTGAGATCATCATCATGGAAATGGAAGAAACTAAAGAATTAAGAAATAAGAGGCATGCCATCCACTGATAAACATGAGAGGGAAAGGTGACTTCAACTTTTCTCTCCAGAGTTTTGTCTAGTAAATCATGCCTGTCTGTCATTAACAATTCACCTGAGAGTAACTGCAGTTTGAAAACTAAAAGCACGCTACAGTGGAAAACCTATAGCAGAGTGGAGAATAATGCACTGGCTGAGGGTTAACAATCAAGGCTGCTCCAAAAAACAACTACTGTAATTTCCATACTCAAGAGGAGCTCCCCAAGAGTTGCTTAAAATGAGCTTAGCACATGCTATGCTAAATGTTTTACTTACCAAGCTGCTCTACTCTTGAGTACAGTGACCTCAAATAGAAAAGGACCTGTAAGATAGTCACTGAAAAGATGAACCGAATGACTCAGCTATCCCAAATGAGGGGGAAGCAATTTCTCTGTAAATTCAGTTTTGAAACATGGGTTGACATTGTCACTAACTCTACTTAATTAATTCTCTGACAGACATTACTGGCACATCTGCTTACTCAGATTACCACATACCTCATACTCCATAAAAAAAAGGCCTTCGAAAACAGAACCTGATTTATATGCCAACAGTCAGTATGAACAGAATATAACAAGCTAAGAGGGGACTGTTGTCAGGCAGGGGCACCTGAAAAAGCGATCCTATCCATTCCTAGCAAAATGGAGTGATCTACCAACCCTGCCACTGTTCATTCTCAAACTGCTTCCTTTCTAATATCTAAACTTTGGGAAATTCCCTCCTCAACCACAACCTATTTACCTTCTACCTCTCCCACACTCTCCTTCCAGAGGAATGTGCTTTTGTTGCCCCAACTGCCTTCAAGTGATAACCCTTCAGTCTCCCGTTTCACCGTCCCTGTAGATCGCTGTTGCTTCCTACTCCATCCAGATGCCAAAGACTAGTCAATGCAATTACTCTCCCACTGGCTTCCACGGATATCTGCTGCCAGTGACACGCTTCCAAACACATCTTGCCTGTAGGTCTGGGTAAACCCCACCATTTAGCAAGTATCTATGTGCCAGGCACTATTTTAGGTGCTGGTGATATAAAAAATCCTCATCCTGTTGGAACTTATATACTTAGCAAGGGAGACAAGAGTAATCAAGACTGAAAAAACACCTCGTATTTTTGGGGGCCGGCCTGGTGGCGCAGTGGTTAAGTGCGCACGTTCCGCTTTGGCGGCCCGGGGTTTACCAGTTCGGATCCCGGGTGCAGACATGGCACACTTGGCAAGCCATGCTGTGGTAGGCATCCCACATATAAAGTAGAGAAAGATGGGCACGGATGTTGACTCAGGGCCAGTCTTCCTCAGCAAAAAGAGGAGGATTGGCAGCAGATGTTAGCTCAGGGCCAGTCTTTCTCAAAAACAAAACCCCAAAAAACAAACAAAAAAAACACCTAGTATTTTGGAAGGCAGCAAGTGCTATGCAGAAAAACAAAGCAGAGATGAGGGTTGCAATTTTTCTTCTTCTTCTCCCCAAAGCTTCCCCAGCACATAGTTCTACACTCTAGTTGTAGGTCCTTCTGGTTGTGCTATGTGGGACACCGCCTCAGATTGCTTGATGAGTGGTGCCACATCTGCACCCAGGATGCGAACCTGTGAAACCTTGGGCCTTCAAAACAGAGAGAGTGAGCTTAACCACTCGGCCACAGGGCTGGCCCCGAGGGTTACAATTCTAAATGTGGTGGGTGGTCAGGGAAGGCCTCAATAAGGTGACATTTAAGCCAATACATTTTCTGTTCTGTGTTCAGCATTGTATAAAACCTTTACTGGGTCCACTAATAAAATCTGGCAAAGCTCCATGAATACAAATGTTTACTGCAACTTTAGGTATAATAGTATTAAAAACCGGAAACAACCTTACCAAGTCAGTAACTAGACGGCTGTCTCGTAAAGAAAAGATCTATAGACTATCATGTGGTCATTAAAAATAACTGAAATAACAGTTCAAAAACATTAACATCTACAATGTTTGATGAAATGAGCAAAATAAAAAGGGTAAAAAATGTAGGTAAGTAGACATAAAATGCACAAATAAAAACAGTATCATGGGGCAGGCCTGGTGCACAGTGGTTAAGTTCACACGTTCTGTGGTCCAGGGTTTGCCGGTTCAGATCCCAGGTGTGGACCCACGTACGGCTTGTCAAGCCATGTGGTAGGCGTCCCACATATAAAGTAGAGGAAGATGGGAATGGATGTTAGCTCAGGGCCAGTCTTCCTCAGCAAAAAAGAGAAGGACTGGCAGTGGATGTTAGCTCAGGGCTAATTTCCTCAAAACAAAGAAAAAAAATAGCATCAGGGTGTTTGGGTTATACGTTTTTTTCTTCTCCAAGATTTTAATTAATGTTTTTCATAATTTTTTTAAGTCCCTATTCAGCCTTGACTCATTGCTGCTCAGTAATCTTTTACTCACTTGTGTGTTACTCCATCCCCACAGGGGTTACTGAAACTTTCTATAACCTCCTCAAAGGCCCCACTTTAACCCTGCCTACTTCCATCTCAGGTGACCTTTCCTCCCTTCTTAGTGAGAAGCTTGAGGCCATCTCACGTGAGCTAGAACAATCTTTATTGCTTTATAAAGAGCCTCTGCCAGGCCCCTCTGACTACGAGGATGCCTCTTCTCAACAGTGCATCTGCTGTCTCCTCCGGCCCGGCCCTCCTTCGGGACCTGATTCACTAATCGTCCACCAGGTGCCTGGAGTTTCCCCCTGCTCCTGCACCGGCTCCTTCCCCAGCCAGCTCGAGGCCAACAAACACATGGGCAGCAGGCAGCGCCAGGGTGCCACGAAAAGGGACGGCTGCAGCAGGTGGGAGCAGCAGCACTCTCACTCGACCCTGGAGATGAGGAGCTCTCCCCCAGGAATCTGGCCTGCAGGGGACAGCTGACAATGCCTGGAGACATTTTTGGCTGTTAGAACTTGATGGGGGTAAGGGGAGGAAGGCACGTCCCACAGTGTCACAGGTCAGCTCCCGACAACAAGGAATTATCAGGCCCAGACTGTCAGGAGTGCTGAGGTTGAGAAAGCCTGCTGTAAACCCACCGAGCCCTTTCTGTGCGCCCTCCCCTTCCCTTCTACCTCCTTACCAGCCATTTACACACTTGAAGGCTTTGCAATCCGGCTCCTGCTCACTCCCACTGCTACTAACACTTCTCTGTCACAGGTCTCCATTGATAAGTAAATCCCATAACCCACTGGCCTTTCTTTGTCCCCATCATCCTTGAGTTGTACAGAATTCAAAAATGGTGACCCGATTCTTCTTTTGCAATTTATTCTCACTTGATATCCACAAAGAACCATCCTATTCATGCACTGTTTTCTCTGGCTCTTTCTTCCTCCTCTCACATCTTAGATGTAAACATATGTCAACTTTCTGAACTCGGTCCTTCTCTTTCATTCATCCTTTCCCACAGCCCCAGTTCACCTCGCGGACCTCTCTCTGGCCTCAAAGTCTCTCTGAGATCGTGCCCCACACTTCCAACTACTTGTTGAATGTCTTTACCAGGACGTCCAGTGGGCATTCTCAAATTTCAAAACTCATTTTTATGTCCTCCCGTTCCGAAAAGCAGCAGCAACTCCAAACTTATTTCCATGAATGAAATGATTGTTAATCCTAGTGACACCCTCTCCCTTGTTCAGAACACTCTGTTGATTGTGTGTCTGCAATGCCTCCCCCATGCAAACACCTCATTTCAATTCCTATAGGCATCGTTCTATTAAGACCTGCAGTGAATTATCTGCACTCCTACAGCCACTCGTTACAACAGGCCAGCTGCCCTAGAATGTCTACCACTCTCCAAATCTACCCAAAGTAATTATTTTAAAGCAATAGTGATGCCATTCTCTTGCTCGAAAGTTCTGCTCTGCAAAACCGCACAGCTTTTTTTTGTTCTTTTTGCAACTGGGAGTGAAGCATGTACTACGTGTGCCCATTTCACCTAGGTTTCTTTTAACCCTAGGCATTCTATGAAATGTCCTATCTCTACAGTATGGATATATAAAGCAGAGAACCACAGGACTTTACGACCGAGGCTACTCAGCTAACAAGCAGAGCCAGAACTACAACTCTCTCTTGCCGCTCTATGACGGTACCTTCATAGCTATGCTACCCCACCAAGGCTTCTGCCTGGC